CCTACTCAGACTGATTGGAAAGAGCTTTTGTTGATGGTCTTATCGATAATAATGAAAACTATAAAACATACACAATTCAAGATTAGAGTGCAAAAACCATACCCTATTTAAGACCAAAATGGCCAAAATCGATACCCTATTTCTGACCAAAACGGCTGAAAACAAACCATACCCTTTGAGGCCGCACAACCTATGCAGCCCATATAAGGGAGTAACCTCTGCCGGAAATGATGCCTGATCAATATCCTGTTCTGAAGTGCCACCTGTCTTGTCGTCGGCTATAGAGTTAGTCGCAAGAATACAATCAACACACTTATCGTTGAACTGCATCTTATTGAAGGCCCTAATATGTGCTGTAAACCTATATTCTGCTTAAAAGTTGCTCAGAAAGGCAAAGCCTGCTCGAGGTTGCTAAAACCGCAAATAGTTGCTCCAAAAGCCAAAAGTTGCTCAAACGTTGCCGAGCACAATCGGGAGAGGCCTAGTCGCTGTAAGGTGTAGGACTTATAAAAGCGCCGGGTTCGGCTATTAATTCGAAATAACCGACTTCCAGTTAGCGGGGTTCAACTGTACCCATTGCATGGCACATAAAAACATGTATGAGCGATGTAAAGAGGAGGGAAAAAAAAGAAACAACTCCTTTTTTTAATGCCATTGTTTTATTTTAGTTGCTCAGATTAAAAGAAAAATATTGCCACTGATATAATCACTTAGTTCAGACACAGTTGTCATACAGCTTCGTTTCTAAATTTCCTTTTCCCCTAACGACGAGAAAGCAATACTTCGAATACTAACTGTTACTAGAATTAATGAAACCCTTAAACTCCTTAATTGTTGCAACTAGAAATCGCAAAATAATATCATTATTCCAGAAAAACTGCCAGAAACTTGTAACTGAAAACTTGCCAGGATTTATTAGACGTAGAGAGCATAAACATTACAGCAGACCCATCCTCCATTGTCGTGTTCAGTGAAGCCCGCCAAATCCTCCCCATACCACACCCGCAGCTCTTGGCCAGCACTGACCTGGTAAAGAGAAAAGCGCGGCAGGATAATCTCAGGAGAATACGAGTTATATCCGGGTAACTCGGCCCAGTTTCCAGCTCCTCCAGCATACGTGAAGAACAGTTTTGGCGGTGAAATGAGGTTATTACTTGATGTTGTTACGGTTACACTGACGTGATTTTTCACTGCGGGATTGTTACCACAGCCCCAGAAAGACCAGTAGGAAATGTAGCCAGACTGGCACATGACGTAACCGCTGAGATGGGTTAATTTTACTGCGGCTATCTTGCCACCGTAAGGGACGTTGAAACTGCCATACTGGTTATTCCTTGCGCCGAAACATACAGGAAGGAAATTCAGTTTGACCCAGGGATCTAAAAAGACAAGAAAATGGAAAATATGTTAGTAAATGAACGAAAAATAAAGAATCACTGAATAGACCAATTTCGATACATTAAAATTCAGCCTAACGCAATAGACCTCAGCACGAGGCTCTTGAGAGTAAACACCACAAACTCTGTAGTTATTCCCCAGCGCCTCGTACTGAGATCTATCGTATTAGGCTGAATTTTAATATATAGAAATTGGTCTATTGATGAACAAAATTGCATTATCGGTTATTAATTAATGAATAAAACTGTAATCGCTCCATTTTCAATCATATTTTTTCCGTACTATTGACATTGCATTTCCCTTTTCCTTTTTTTCCACACTTCTACGTATCCGATCCCCGTCTCCAAAAACCTTATGTCAATTGAATTAAACTGAAGTAAAAATAAAAGGAAAACGTCTTACCCAATGCAGCTGCAATGGAGGGAAGTATCAAGAGGATCATAGCCACAAAAGCAAACTTTTGGTCCATGATTTGACGAGGGTGCGAAAATCTATTGTTAAATAATCACAGCACCAAGTTAAAAAGAGCCGAAATCGCAAAGACAAATTTCTTTCTTTTGTCGAAGGTTTGTCGAATGACTGCGAACTATAAATATACAATGTTTACCTTACATCGATCGACCTACAAGATATCGTGACTTTTTTCAATTAAAATCGTTCAAAGGAGTATTGACACGGCTAACAATCTAAGTATATCATCGCGAATCGTTAGTGGACATCATAACTTTTCTCTCATTGAAAATAGCGAAAACAGGACCGAGATGATAACTTTCAACACGATAAAGGTTTTCTCTGACTAGCCAATTCTCGCGAACATGGAGAGTTTCTTTGATTGCCGTCGCGCTATTGTTGAAAGGGTACAGAACTCTACAGAATTATTGTTTCGTCAGACTATATGCGATACCAAAAGAATTCTAGTAAATCAGTTAGCATATCTTACCTCTAAATTAGTTCAGCGTTCAGGTAATCCGTTGCAGGAGCACAGAACTAAAAGGTAGAAAAAAGAATCAGTGTGGATGATCATACTGAAAACGATTAAGGAATACAATATATCAAAACCAAAATTGCAGGCTTACATCACATATATATCGGCAGCTTCTCAAATTTGTTCTGAAAACTGTTCGGAAGAGTCAAATAAAATACTTTAAACGTTAACATAATGGTTCTCTTCTTTTAGCTCTTAATGAACTTCTCGTCAGAACACGTTCGTAGAACAATAAAATTGTTTACTTTTATCGTCGACCTATCACAAATAGTTGAAGAAACCATCGCCACTTCACAGTGTTTCGATAATATCGACACGCTATTCAAGAAAAAAATTCGGAAGGATACAATCCTATAAGCAGAATGAAAAAAGGAATTCGTCGCTCCGGCATTTCTTGTGGAGCGCGAGTGTGTTATGAATATTGCAGTTATGGTTGACTGACTCTGTTTGATAGTTGCGGAAGTAAACTGTCTTTGTTTTAGTTTTGACTCGTTGCTCAGTTTGCATTCGTTATAATACGTTCTGCAACAAACAGAATAAATTTATAAATACATCATTATAGGATGAGCGTAAACGAGTCTATTGCCTTGGCATCAATGCGGTAGGGTATCCGTTGGCCGTTGTGTTCAGCCTGCTTCCCCTGGGGGAGGAGGGTTGTACTTCCTAGTAATAGGCTAATGGGGATGTACAGCTGGATGGGGTCGCATTTTTACGACTGGATTGACTATAACGAGGTTGCGTTTTCAATAGAGTTACTAGAATGGGGTTGCACGTGCACATTTTCGGGATTTTGGGGGATCAGAAAATTCTGGCAAGTAGGGATTTAAAAATGGGAATAGTCACGATGAAAAAGTTGTTACCGTTCTACATTCAAGTTAACAAATGGGTCACTTCATTTTAGGATATACTAGTTAAAAGGCTTTATAAGATAGATGCATAATTGGGGTCTATTTAATTGGCCACAGCTTAGACTTCAATGTAGTAGATGTCCTGAAAGGCCAGCGGCACTTGCTGACAACAGCAGATAGTGCAGTATAAAAAGTACTTCATATATAAAATAGGGGCGCTTCAGCATTTCTTTGAAAAACAAAGAGGAAGTGTTTTTTTATTTCTTGGAAAAACTGAGTTCAATCAATAAGAAATCGAGGGAAACAAACTTTTATTAACGGAAATTTGTTATATAGTCTAGTTACACAATAACATCCAAACAAATCTGTGGTAGCTTAATGGTAGAGTGCCCCGACCGTCGAGCGGGAAGTGACAAGCAGGTTCGACACCTGCTGCGAAATCTCGCCATCGTTTTTCTTTTTTCCGAATCACAAACCTGGCATCTTCTTCGGAATTACCAGTTATCTTTTGAAGACCTTTACCCCGCGTTAATAACTGAATACGCTTAATTTAAAGTTTGCATGAAAAATATTATTCACCAAGACACTTTTGTTTATAGCGGTCGTTTCAGATCGTTTATAATAACTTTGGCTTTGATTTTTCCAAACTTGTTTTGATTCCAGCTTGTAAGCAGAAAATTAAATCACAGCTGTGAAAATGTATGTTCTGAGGCTTCTCTACTCTGATTAATTACCAGCCGGACAGGAATAAGCAAAAACAAAACTTTAACGAATAGTTTAATTTATTAGTAACAGCATAGTAAGCAAATCAACATGGATGCTCACAAAAAATTCTTGTCACTTGCATAAACAAACGCACGACTTTCTTTCTTCTTCTTCTTTTTTTTTTTTTGTTTTCGTTTATGATTCGCTAGCAGAAAAAGCGTGCAAACAAATTTCCGCGTCGGATCTTTGCCGTGTTTTTCATTCAACGATTGGCTTGAGTTTCTAATCCATATTCATAGGGCTCGTAGGGTTTTCGGCACATTTTAAACTGTTCGTTGATGAGTGAAGACATATCGTCCGGCCAAGGGCCAATTTTACTCTTGGAAGAAGAAGATGTTTGATGCTAGAAGGACTTAACGTTAGGAATGAAGTTGTTATTCTCTGATCCCAACCGAAGGTAAGCACTTCATTTGGAAAACAGTCGCTCAATTCGGGTATCAAAGTGTTACCCTAGCGAGTGAACACGTGCAATAACTGTTTGCTTCGAACGCCGGCTACTTTATCTAGCCTTGAAACAGGACAGAAAAGCGGTATCTCAAATTCCATGTTTCGTTTGGAATATTTCAAGGGCGACCAATTTGAATGATACTCCAGCAAAACATAACACTTCGTAATAGTTAACTGAAATTTAGGACATTTCCGTTGGCCTGAAACAAACGCTGAAATCAAAACTGAAGGCTCGGAGATAAACACGGGTAAGAATTCGGTGGTCTTGCGACAATATAGGAATCTTTTACCTGTTCGAAGTCAAAACTGCTCGCTGAAATGAAGCTTTTATACATGCATTGTATTTATACATGTGCTGTTCAGGGAACATTTCAGCATTTTGCTGATCTTGTACTTTTTCATTTCTTTTTCCAGGAATTCAATTCTGGCATGGGGCTAGCGAAGCCGGAGAAGTGGACATACTGGAATCACCGAATTAAGAGGAACTCTTCAAAGATAAGAACTTAAAAAATTGTCAGATAGCTAATACAAATGGTGGCTGAACAATGTGCTAAATTTACGAAGGAGTAATTGTACTCTGATTGTCTGGAGCGGATGAAAAATTACTTCATTTAGAGACTGCAAAGTGGAAGAAAGTTTACTTTATTTTGCTAGGGATCGACACTTCGGGTTCTTCACATCGTACACTTATTGTCTGGATCGGAGAAAAAAATGCCTTGATCAAAGACTGAGAAATGGAACAAAGTACTTTAATTTCTAAAGGTTTAATTAAATATCAGTCACCATTTGCCGATTCTTTTGCAGACAATATTTTGATGCATTCACTAATTTTTTTTGTAAGTGTTGATAATTTTGATTAAGTTCATTTCGGAGCACATTCTTGATTAACCTGATTCAGTTTTTTATAAATTGTTTAACGTCGAATATTAATCAAATTTTTATAATTTATTCGATTATTAGTCTCGCTTTTGGGAAACGTGTTTCGATTCTTTAGCGTTGTTTTCTTGAGGTCTTTTTGTGATGTCTGCAAAAGAGTCGTTGCTTCAGTATACATTGTTATATTTTGCAACGTCAGTTGATGCTGCAGAAATATTTTTTTAAGGTGGCACTGCAAAACGCGAGAGAGTACAAACCACGGACTACAGACAAAATTCAGTTGAGATTTAAAAGGATTGATTTTACTGGCTTTATACCTTAAAATCAACAAAAAAAATAAGACTCAAAACAAAATTGTACCTAAAGGTTCATGTTTATTTGATGTATACTGTACTATGAAACTGAGACTAATAAAAAGAGCCACCTTAAAAATAATCGCTTTTGCTGCATTAACTGAACTACTCTAGTTGACAAGAGAACATGGGTTTTTTCAAAAAAGCAGACTTCTGCGAGTCATAGGAAGTCATTTTTTTTCTGGTGGAACCCTGACTCGCTGACTGAAGGACTAACTGAACACTTGAGCACGACGCGAATAATTGATGGTGTAAATTACTCCATTGAACAGCATCTACTAACAAACTCCACAACTGACTGACGGTTCAATGTGTTGATTGCAGTGTAAACTACTTGCAGCGAATGACTCCAAGTCTGGTTCACTAACTTCGAACAATGACCGCCACGTTACAAACGAATTATTCCCGACCTCGACTACACCAACCAACGAACTTAATCCTCAGAGCCAACTGATATTTTCTAACCGCATACGTATCATCAAGACTGACAAGAACTGCCTATGGTATCGCTGTTTACAAACATCTACAGAACTGTATCAGCCAACACTACCATGCAAACTGCACCAAACAGTTCACAAACAATTTCAGTTACTTGACTTTAAACGTTTGCCACGGCATCAGATGCAACAACTGCGTACTCTTTACTGATTTCGAGAACATTGGTACTCTCACAACATACGAACTACTTTACTCCAGGGTTCAACGGCAATTTATTGATAAAAAACAAATTAATTAATTTTCACAACACAAAAGACAGTTGTTTCCATTTTGGCTTGTTTATCTTCGTTTGGTAAAAGAAGGGGCGGAGAATGTTTATAGATGCCTATGTTCTCTTGTCGTATATCGAGTGCTTGTTATAAACCCTAATGCCTGGTTGAGAGAATATTGAGATTAATACGTCGAGACAAAGTCAATATTTTTAGTTATATGGACCACAAAATCACAACCCAATTACTCGCTTTGTTTTCCTAGCATTTTTTTGTGTCGATGACATTTCAGATTTTCGAAAACAAGAAACGACATGGAACTATTAAGTCAATTGAACAATTGTTTGGTTTAATGTCCAAATTAAGTCAGTGTTTTCAGTTTTCTTATTGTATAGACCAAAACAAAACCTCGCTGATGATTAACTCGAAAACAATCACTTCCCTCGCTGTTTCAATTTGTGGAAAGTAAAAACCAGCAATGACTAATTTGGCTTTACAATTGTGCTGTTTATTTTCATAATTTTAATATGATGGCTTTCTTTCGATATACATCCAAAATAAATTTTTCGATCCATTTTTTTTAAAAAAACAGATCTGTTATCATTCCGTTAGCAAATAAACTGCTTTTGAGAAAAAAAAAAGACTGCAATGAATAACTTGGCTTGATATATATACGGAAAATAAAAAACTTAGAATTACTCTCCGATCCGATTTGATAACATAATTTTTTCATTTCGTTAGCTATATCAACAGCTTTCTTGTGATCTGATTTCAAAAATAGTCTCATTTTAATTTCGTTTGCAAATCAACAGTGTTTTGGAAAGATATTCTCTGTACTATTTCATGTCAACAAAACGATTAACTAAACCCTGAAATGACTATTCGGCTCCACAATTGTAAATAGTAATGCAATTTTAGAACGTGTTTCCTGAACGAACAAACAAGACAATTTCGCGAATTTCAACCGGTTTCATATTATTTCTGATGCGTTTTTCCTGTCGCTTTGTTCTGCTTTGAAATTGTTTCTCCTGCATATAGTTCTGCTTTTTTGTTGTCCGTATAACCTTTATTTCGTTCTTTGTTTCAACCACATGTTCGCGTTAAGGGTGGGGTTTAACTTGCACAATTTAATCGCTTCAACCAGGCACTTGGGTTTTATAATAAGTTGGTTTTTGAAAAAGATTTACTTTAGGTGCATGAAGATCTTTTACTGCTGGTGGTCGTTGTAACACAGGACATTGCGTTAATAAGAATTAAAAAAAAGACACTAAATTACATTGAGCTGATTTCTGAATTGCTGACGTTATTGCTGAAATTGAAATAAACCCTGAAGTCAGCTAATCTTAACAACACGAGCAATTGTTACATACTGTACATGGTTGCAATTGTCTGTTTTACTCCAAAACTTCATAACCGTTACAGTTTGTTTAGGACGAGTAAATTTCTTGGCGTTTTTGGATTAATTTGTCCTGTGTTACAAACGAAAATCGGATGAAAAAGGTTTTTATCCGAAACATGATCTCGTGCAAGAGAGCTTGAAAAAACTAAACTGTTTCGGAGAAAGATTTGCTCGGTTCAAAATTTGACTTTAACAAGTAACGAGATTTAAAATATCTTTTTCGGATTTTTTTACGGGTAGGAAACAAATTGGCGTTTTACTTTCAACTTTTTTTGCACGAGGTGATGTTAAAAGTATTTTTGGCGGGAAATTGTAAGGGAAGTCGTTTTGAATTTTTTACCGAGAAAGTTGCCAGGGGAAACGCTGTGCAAATTTTTCCAAATTTTCCCGCCAAAAGTCTTAGTATATATAGGGAACATTTTTTCTTGACACCTTTTTGTTGATTTCCATTAACTTATAATTAGAGATTACTTGAGGCAAATAAAAGTAATTTTCACACTTAATACTTGTTTGTGTTTATTGAAATATTTTATTAAAGATAATAAAGATGACAATGAACTGTTTGACTTATTATACACATTGCTCTGTAATAATTACACTAATAAACAACATCAAGTAGAGCAGACACAGAGGAAATATAACTTTTATTGTTGACAATTTAAGTTTAAAATTACTAAAATTTTTTTTTAAAAAAAACGGCGCATGCGTACTTTGGCGCCAGTATTTTTCTAAGTTTTTTGGCGGGAAAATTAAAAATTTTCTAAAGGAGTACATGAAGAAGGGAAAGCATTTTTTTTTAAAAAAATTGGCGCATGCGTAGTTTTGGCGCCCGTATTTTTTCTAAGTCTTTTGGCGGGAAAATTAAACACGGTCAAACCGATGTTGACAAGGAAACAACTTTCACCAAAAAAAAATTGACATAAGAACAAATTTTCTAAGCCAGTGTTAACTCTTGCGATGTGTTTCTGGCAAAATTTTAATTTCATAGACAACTTGTAACGGCAATAAAGATTGTGCTTTGAGAAACTGAGTTACAAAATTATAGCTTCGACATGGTACTGGCCTAACTTCTTGCTTTAACCCTTTGCGCCTGTCTCTTACTACCGTACGGATCTGTCTTGCTGTTCACGTTTTATAAATACTAATCAAAAAGTGCTCGTGAGTTTAAATTTGCACTTCCCAGACAATTCAAAATAGTAATAAAGATGGTGCTTGATTCTTCAACAGAAAAGAAATTTTCTTCTCTCCGATTCTCCTCAATTAACCTTGAAGCGCAGTCTCGTTAAGTTCGCTATTCTACCTCTAACTACATCTTGAATGATTGTCTTTATTCAATCCTGACTTGCAGCAGATTCATGTAAAGCATCGTAGGCATCCAGCAACCTGCATGAAAATAAAGCAAAACGAAAATTAATAAGAGTAATTACACAAAAAATAGTTACACAATAAGAATATTACCTTTTTCCTGGGGAAAATGAAAAGATGCTGTTGAAAGATTGCTGTTGAAAGATTACTGTTGCGCTACGCGACTACCAAAGTAACGCTGCGTAACTAACATGATAACGCGGCGTAACTAACAAGATGACGCGGCGTAACTAACAAGATAACACGGCGTGACAACCGAGCTAACGGTAAATGACAACCAAAGTAACGCAGGGTGACAGTCCATGTAAACAAAGCGTGACTCTAAAGGCTAGCTAACTTTAAACATAATAAAATACAGGCGAGTTTGTGATCGTCCTGGCGCAGTAACAAACATTAGCAAGAAAAAGATTAAGTTACTTAGGAAACATAATTGGTTCCGTTTTTTGTTCTCAGTTCAACTGAAACATGTACTGTTCGTAGTACGTAGCACAACATGGGATCAATCCATTCCTTATGATTGTACCTTGGATATTAGATGTAAAAATCAGTTTCTACACACAGAAAAACTGAACATTTGAGGGTTCTGACTTGATTAAAATCATAGTAAGAAATGTTTTGGTGAAATTACACCAAACCCCTCATTTTACTCCAGGCTAAAGCAACTTATTGTTCTTTGTTTTTTCGCAAAGGGGTTCAGGAATTCGAGAACATTCCATCTTGCTGTATTAATTTCTATTCAAAATACAGTTGTGTGAAATTTCGATAAAAATACTGCAAAAGTGGCTATAATTTTCACGTCAAGTCAAGAACTTTAGGAAAGGACATGCAAGTACATAAAAAATATCAAATACCAAGTAGATAGAAGCTAGCAAGCTGTACAACACAGAAGCTTCAAAACAAATATGACCTCCATGGTTGAGCTATTAAATTTCAATATTGATTTTTAACATTCAAGTGCTGAAGAGCGATGTCAAACTACTGAGCCAACGTTGTTTTTAGAATCAAATTAGTCACAAGAGTTAACTGTTTATCAGGAAAGCCAAAAAAAAAAGAGGTTTTCCATCATGATACCACTCTGAGACCACAAATAAGCTTTGAGTTGTACAGTTGGGGAGATCTATCATGCACAACTAAGCAGAAGTTTCATTTCAACCAGATACCGTGAAAATTGATTTGGAATATAAAAACGTTATTAATAGTGTCATTACTAATAAAACACCAACACATCGAAACGAAACAGCGATTATATTTTAGACTTCTTTCTAAGACACGACCTTCGACTACCAAATTAAAACCCTTTTGACTTGTGAATCCAGGTCCAATTGGCTTTCAGTACAATTGTCGAGTTGCAAAGTTTACGTGTTCAGTTTCAAAGATGTATGGTTGAGTTCTAGAAAGCTAAGATGGTCAAGTTGCCTTTGGGAAGGTTCAGTTAGGCTTCATTAAAAAAACAAATAAATTTAATTTGGCATGATAATGGCTCGTGACTTGAACTTGACTTGTGCTACAATTAGGGTTCTCATTAAGCTAATTCCTCACATTTGCTTGCACATCCTTACTGCGCATAACTTATGGCATGATTAGCGCACGCTCGTGGCATGCACGCGCACATTGAGAACATGGCAGATTTGCCTTGATATTGAGTTCTGTCAGTTGAAAAATGGCTATAGCTCACTAACGAGCACGGGCAACCCAATTTTTTTTTCAGTAGTTTTAATCAACTAATCACTAGCTTTGCGCGAGAAACGACTGATATGATTTCTATTGTTGAAAATTGAATAAATAAGGGACCGTTCATTTTTTATGAGGGAGGGGGGGCTGGTGGGATTTGGGAAGCACCATTTAAAAAT